GGATTAATTTGTATTAAACTATTTGGATCGGGATGGATCGGAGGCATTTTATCCTTTAGTTGTTACATCTTTCCGTTCCCCCTTTGTGGACATGCAACTTATTGTATGTGTAGGTTTCTTTTGTTGAATATACAGACCGCTATATGGACATGTATGTTCCTGAAGTATTGTAGTAATTGACTCCTAATTTGATTTCATATTAGGCTTTGTTTTTTTAGGTGGAGGATCTGTGGCATAGGGAGAAGTGGCAAAAAAAATGTCGTCCCAAAGATTTATACCTGGACATGACTTGTAAGGATGCACATGTCCATCCTAACAACCAGTGCCTAAGTGTGACCATGGTAAGCTAGCCCAAGTGGATGAATTGAGACATCCTAATACTGCTGCACGTGTCTACTACACATATGATGATTGTCGTGTAAGTAATCATGTATAAATAGTTATTTTTGTTTATTTCATTTTCATAATATCATGGCCTGTTTGGATGGTGGTAGGTGGTATTAACTTTCCTAGAACTCGGAGAGGTGCTATTTCTTTTAATAGATCGATTGTTAAAAGTTTGACCCTAGGTTTCTCCTTTTCCATTATTTTCCATCACCAGGGGCAACTCGATACAAGATGTTCAAGTAGTGGATTCCACCTCCCCCAGACCATCTACCAATGACGAACGAGAAGAAGAACAAAGCCCTTCTACCAACAAGAAGAACAAAGCCATCTCAAAATAACTTGACAACCCACCTTTGTATGAATGCAAAGATCCAGCTGTTGTGTTCACCTGGCTGTGAGGTTCCACACTTTGAGCGTGGTGACAAAAGCAAAGCAAGCCAAGTGTGCGGATAACCTCTAGTTCCATGTATGGAATTATTTATCTAATAACTTGTGCGAAACAGGTTCGGACTTCGTCAATAACTTTAGTTAAATCTCAACAAAACTGGTCTTTGAGACGGCTAAGAATTGCAATGAAAAAATGGCGTACATGTAATCCATACAACCATGAGCAAGGATTTTGCCCCAAAGTCAAAATGGTTATGTCTACAACTAATGATATATATTCTTTTAAAAAACAACAACTAATGATATATATACCCCAATGTATCATGTTACAACAATTACGTAGGTCCTTTCACAGCCTTAACCCCCCCAACACCTGGCGCACGAGGACGGTGAACCTCGCTCCTTCGCTGAGGCGGCGGGAGACACGGCATGGCGCGCCGCGATGCAGCAGGAGATGGACGCAATCGAGCAGAACCGAACGTGGGAGCTGGCGGATCTTCCTACCAGCCACCGCGCCATCACCCTTAAGTGGGTCTACAAGCTCAAGAAGGATGAGGCCGGGGCGGTGATCAAGCACAAGGCGCGTTTGGTGGCGCGCTGGTTTGTCCAGCAGGAGGGAGTCGACTTCGATGACGCCTTCGTGCCCGTTGCGCGGATGGAGTCCGTTCGTCTCCTCCTCGCGCTGGCGGCTCAGGAGGCTTGGCGTGTGCACCACATGGATGTCAAGTCCACCTTCCTCAACGGTGACCTAGAGGAGGAGGTCTACGTTCACCAGCCGCCGGGATTCGTCATCCTCAGCAAGGAGAACAAGGTTCTTCGCCTATGCAAGGCCCTCTATGGCTTGCGGCAGGCGCCCCGATCTTGGAACGCCAAGCTGGACTCCACCCTCAAGCAAATGGGGTTCTAGCAGAGTCCTCACGAGGCTACAATCTACCGGCAGGGCAAGAGAGGCAATGCCCTGTTGGTAGGTGTCTATGTCGACGACTTGGTGATCACTGGCACCAAAGAGGCCGAGGTGGAGGCGTTCAAGGAAGAGATGAAGGCCACCTTCTAGATGAGCGATTTGGGCCTTCTCTCCTACCTAGGGATCGAGGTCCACCAGGACAGCTCTGGCATCTCCCTTCACCAGACCGCCTACGCCAAGCGCATTGTCGAGTTGGGCAGGCTCACAGATTGCAACCCAGCCTACACTCCCATGGAGGAGAGGCTGAAGCTGAGGCAGCGGGGCTTGCCGAGGGCACAAGGTTGCGACCGGACGCCGGGATCTAGCGCGGGCGCCATGTCCGGTCATCGCGCGCAGAGGAGAAGCCGCTCGGTGTCGCAATCGGACGCAGGGGCGTTGTGGCGATCGGACGAGCCGAAGAAAAGCAACTTCGCTGATGTACGCTGACGTTGCACGCGCATAGAGAAGAGGCCAGTGTTGACCGGACGCTCGGGCGCGTCAGGTCGCCTCTGACCTGACGCGTCCGGTCACTATTTCATGGCTCTGGAACCTTACTGGACATGATCGGACGCAGTGTCGACGTGAGTCCGGTCATTTTGGTGACGAGTCCGGTCATGACTTAACCCTAGAGCACCTATTCACTTGACCGTTAAAGATCGACGTGCTAGATTTAAATGAGGGACGCGTGGCAGCCATCCCGCGACCGGACACAGACGACCTGACGCAGAGCAGCGTTCGGTCAGGTGCGTCCGGTCAGCTCGCGATTGACTAACGACTCTATTTCGAGGGGGCGCCTATAAATACATTTTGGCCGTCCCTAGGCTCACTCTCTTGGCACTTTGACTTTCCTAACATACTTATGAGCCTAAGCAAACACCTCCCACCCATCTTCATCATTGATTCTTCATCATATTGAGATTGAGAGTGATTTCAAGTGCATTTGCTTGAGTGATTACATCTAGTGGCACTTAGGGATCGTTGTGGCTGTGGATTTCTTGTTTCTTTTGGGGGTTGCCGCCACCTAGACTACTTGGAGCAGCAAAGGAGGTTCGACACGAGTTGGTGATTGTTCGTGGCCGGCTTCGGTGATTATGAGGGGTCTTGTACCTTCCTCGGCGGAGAATCGAAAGGTAACTCAAGTGGATTGCTCATGTCATTGAGTTATCTCACTTGTGGGTAGGTTTTTGCGCTATCCAATTGTGTGGACGAGGTTCGTGCAACACCTCTTAGCTGCCGAACCACCAAGTGTTGGTCGACGCAACGGAGACTAGCGTGCCGTCAAGCACGTGAACCTCGGAAGAAAAATTGGTTGTCTCTTACCCTTTGATATTCTTCCGGTGATTGAATTGATATTCATCTTGTGATTGGTTCACTTTTCTACACGGCGATATAATCACTCTACTTACTTATTTATATTCTTACAAACTAGTTGTAGCAAGCTCTTTAGTGTAGCTAGAATCGAGAACTGGCTTTGTAGTTTAAGTTCATCTAGTAGAGCTCTTTAATGTAGTGTGAGAGCTCTTAGTGAGCAGTGACTTAGTAAATTGTGTGCCCAGTGATGATAACAACTAGAATTATTGGATAGGTAGTTTGTAACACTTATAGAGATAAAGTAAGTTTATATTTCAATATTTATCATACTAGTGATCTTTCATATTTTAACCTTCAAGCGGGCACAGTTGCCAGGTGCTAGGCCAGGCGGGGGCTGCGGTGCACGAGTTCTCACAAGACCTCAAGAGAACATGTCTGTTTGACCTTCAAGCAAGAACAGCTCTGTTGTTGCCGCAGGACACTAGAGGATGGGCACCTGCAAAACTTCAAGCAAGAACACGGCCCCTGCACCTGCACGTACGCACGGCGGCGCAGTTTGGACCGGACCGCTGCCGCTGCACGACGTCGGCGCAAACCACGCACGCGGCCGCCTCTGCTCGTCGCGTCGGGCTCCCCTGCACGCGGCGGCCTCTGCTCGTCGCCTGCACCCGTCTGCGCAGCCAGCGCCGTAGCACCCGGCCGCGCCTGCGCGGCCGCCCTGCGCCAGCCGCGCCCCCCTGCCGCTAGCGCCGCAGCACCCGGCCGTGCCTGCGCCGGAGCGTCCGCCCGCCCTACGCCACAGGCAAGAACGCCGCCGACGGCGAGGCCAGTCGAGCTCGTCGAGGGGCCGAACCGCCGAATCAAATGTATGTTTGAGTCCATATACGTAAATACAGTACCGATACGAACTGCAGGTGGGCTCAATGATATGATACGTCCACAAGGGTAATTATCGGGTACTTCATTAATTATAATGGCAAATCTCTAAATACCTAGATTGTAATGACAAATCTCTAAAATCTAAAAATTATAATGGCTTCAATCCAAATATCCCCCTTAAAAAAAACTAACAACCGTTTGGTGCTAGGAAAAGCTCAAAACTGATGACTTCAGTGCTCGGTTCCTCGCTTTGGTGTTCACGGAACATCACCGGACAGGCGAACAACAACGAAAAAATCTGGCAGGGATCCTAAGACAATACTAAAAACTAGTTAAAAAAACAATACTAAAGCTAGCTGGTTTGCACAAGGACCCATGAGCGGTGGAGCCTGTTGTGCTCCACTTCTTGGCTTCTTTCTGGTTGCAGCCGTCGGCGGCAGGAGCAGGACTGCAGCCTGCAGGCTTGCCCAAACGGCTAAGCGCTTGCTCCCTCAAGTCGCGCGCGCGGGGGAGGCTGATGCGGCAGAGGTAAAGGGATCGCGGTCTGGGACTCGGGGTGGGCTGTCGAAGTGGGCTGAAGGGAGTTATGGGCCGTGGAGTTGATTGGTTGTGCGTTCAGTGCTAATCTACGGCGCATCGGTTCGGTGCAACGTCAAAACCAACGCAAATCCGAGCACCCAAGTTGCCAGAAATTTAGACTGACCAAACCGAAAAACCGAACAACCGTCGACATGAAATTATCTCGTTTGATTTTGAGCGGGAAATGCTATTCCACGGTTAGTATGCTTGCTTTAAACACGTGTTTGGTTGGCCTGTCGCAGTGTTCTTACACCCGCTGGCTGTATAAATGCAACTATGCAAGCCGAGCTGAGTCTGTAACAGTGATTAATAATATGAATCTGTTTGAGCATACTAGTACACGCACACGTTTAATAAAAGCTATTGGCAACACAACTTGTACATATGAAGATTTATCGGGTTCTATGATATGAATAGCTCAAAACAGCATTCTAGGGAATCTGTGCCATGCTTACATCAGCCAAATAGCATAGATGCCAGTTTTCAATAGTTACATGAGTGTTCCTACGTATCATTACTTCTTCCTAGTACTCTCTTCTGCTAACTCTTCTATAATTTGTCCGGCCTCAACAAACAACTCCTGCAACCCCGTCATCTGTGGAAACGGATGTATCCGTTGAACCATAACGATGAGCTTCCTCAGGCACATCATGTAGTCCTGCTTGACAGCCTTTTTCACTAACCTTCGTGTATGAGGCTGCAAAAACAAATGACGCGTTAAAGCAGCCATTTAATTAGGATAACCGTGCTGGTATAGGGTCAATACATGCATGGATGAGGGTTTCATACCTCTTTGTAAAGTGAAATACACTTATGCAGAACATCTTCAACAGATTTATAATCTTGCTCCTGAAATTGAAGAGAACAAATGGTCAAGTTGTAAGCTTCACTAGCAATTCCCGCTTCCAAAATGAGGTTTCAAGTTCCTAATTACAGCCATTGAAAAGAATGCCAAAAATTTGTGTTCCATCTCATGGAGCATAACAATACCTTTCGAACAATTATGTCATCTGATTGTGACATCTATTACACAACAATAATTAAATCAAGAAAACATATATCTAGTCAATTTACAAAAAAAATATAGTGTGCCAGACCTTTCCAAACTTATTTTTAAAATGGATTCGCAGTGTGCTATATCTGACATATATGATATTTGTGCCGGTCCATATAAATGGCCGAGGTGTGCCTGGTATATGTACAGCATCCATTTTGAAGAATCCATGCTTCAAATGTTCCAGTGGAAGCCTTAGCAAGAGTACCAACTACTAAAGAGAACATGGTATATTAGAAAGAAAATAAATTGCATATAACATAATTCAGCAATTGCCAATGCATAAATAAAGTTTCCAAAAAGAAAATTACCCCTTGCCCTAGCACACGCTTCGCTGTAACATCAATGAATCCAATAACAATAAGTGATTGCAACTGCACATGTAATACACAGTATTATCAATTAAAAACAGATATAATACAAACAGAGTTAGGTGAAAATAGTTAATGACAACAAAAACCAGCATAAGCCTTATTTTCACCAAAGTTTTTTTTTTTAAATTGTTATCAAAAGAACCTTCGAAAAGGGCAGGGAGTTCCTATAGTTCACTTAAGGAAGAATTGACCCGGTTTATCAGATAAACTAGGCCCAAAAATCATACAATTGCACGGTTAATTAAGGAAAACCGGCGAAAACCTAAACACAACTGCCCACCATGTGTCATTGTTGCTGTTATGACCAGCGTCACTTACCAACGTCGGGCCCGGCCCAGTGGCTAGGCCACGCCGGCGGCAAAGGGGCCTAGGTGCCCAGATTAGCTATCTTTAGATATTATTTCCTATTTCCATAATTATAGGATTGTGATTGATTTGCTTGTACGGTGGAGGGGATAAATACCCCCTGACTCTTTTGGAATTAATTAAGCAAAGCAATAATCTTTACCTAGCCTCAAGGGCCACGTACCATCTTGTTCGTCATAGAAACAGCACGCACACCCCTACCTGGCGCGCCAACTGTCGACAAAAGATACTCAACAGTCCTCCGAGGGGTATCCCACGAAGGTAGATTGATCGGTGGAGGTGCGCGTGATAGAAACCGGATGATGACACAAGGCGCAGAGACAACGATTTAGACAGGTTCGGGCCGTCTGATCGACGTAATACCCTACGTCCTGTGTCTTTGTTGTATTGTATTGAATATGGGATGATTTCGAGAGGGGTCCCTGCCCGCCTTATTTAGTCTGGGGGGTAGGGTTACAAGTCGGTTAGATCTAGGAGATAACCGATAAGTAATAACAAATTACATGAATCATGGGATCGAACGTATCCTAACAGATCTCGTAGTATCTTCAGGATATCTTCCCGGTGTCTTGCGGGGCGCGCCGAGCAGTGCCGTGCTCCGCAAGGCTTCGTCTTGTGGGCTGAACCACCCCTGGGGGCGCAGCCCATGTAATTTGCCGTGGGTATCCGGGGTCGTACCCCCCACAGTGCGGCTTCCTGGGGCTGGCCGGCTACTACCGGAAGTTCATCCGGGACATCTAAGTCGACGACATTGTATTGACGAAGTCCTCTTCTGCTCTACTGCAACGCATCACAAATCGCCTTAGCTCCGAGTTCGCCATGACTGACGTTGGCGCTCTCCATCGATTACTCGGCATCTCCGTCGCGCGCTCCGACCTTGCTTACATCGTTCAACAAGTCTGCCTCTTCATGCACGACCCGCGGGAGCCTCATCTTGCTCTAATCAAGCACATTCTGTGTTATGTGAAGGGCATCCTCAACACAGGTCTGCATCTCGGCATCAGCTGCATGTCATCTATCACAGCATACTCTGACGCCGACTAGGCTGGATGTCTAGACTCCTGGCGTTCTACTTCAGGCTACAGCGTCTTCCTCGGCGACAACTTGGTCTCCTTGTCTTCAAAACGGTAGATCACGTGTTGCTCATGTAGTTGCTGAGTGCTGCCGGCTACGTCAGCTACTTCAGGACCTTCATATCTCAATACCTTCGGCGACCATTGTCCATTGCAACAATGTCAGCCAATCCGGTTCATCATCGCCGCACAAAGCATATTTGATCGTCGCACAAACAGCACAAAGCATATTACTGGTACTCCAAGTTGTACTTGAATATATATATCAAAGCCACCCCCTAATTGGGTGTGAGGTGTTCCCCTATTTTTTTTCTTAAAAAACGCAGGAGATCTGCGTCTCATTGTATTAAGAAGAAAGAGGGTATAAGAACCCAACACTTACAAGACACCCAAACACAACTCACTCACACAACACACACTATAGCAGCCAAAGCACAGACACACCTAAGCTGGCTGCAAAACGAACCACACAAACTCAAAGCACTAATCTCCTGGGAGATGGGCTGACAAGAGGGAAAGGTCTCGAGCTCCTGCCGTGGTCCACAACCGGCGCTCCTCCCCAGCCACTACTAAAGCCCCAGCAACACTAGGAGCCGCTCCATAAAAAACACAACAATTACGAATGGTTCCAAATAATCCAGGCCTCCATAATGATTAGCGAATTAACCCCTTGCCTTACCATATTATTAGTGTTAATATGTACAGATATATGTGCTTTTCTGTCTTCTCTCTTTCTGGCCCATGTAGGCCTTATGGCCCATACTTGTATATACTGTAACCCTAGACTCAATGGATGGGTGTGAGGTCATTCTTCCTAACATGGTAACAAAGCTCCCAGCCTCCCTGCAGCCGACACCCCTGCACTGATGGATGCCGGCGACTGACCTCATCCAGCAGCATCGACCTTCCTTCTGCGCCCCTCCTCAAGGTCGCCCCTTTTCTCCCTCTGCTGCTTGCCCTCCTTGGTGGGTAGGGGCCGCACTTCTTCTCTGCGTCTCCTTCCCTGCGTCCTGCAGCAAGTGGTTGTGGGGACAAGGCCTGGAGACTGACCTGTCGCAGCAAAATAAACCAAAACTCCCTAGCGAAGACACAATTGTTTCCTCCTCTTGATCACAAAGCGGACAGCATTCTGGGCGAGGCATTCCACGACGTGCAAGGCGGTCAGACGTCCAACACTTATTGTGTGCCACTAACCACATGAAGAAACGACATTTTGGTGGCGCCCAAGTCTTACAAATCCTTTCCCATGGTGCAAAGAGAGTAGCACCTAAGAAAAAACCCTCATATTTTAGGGGGGACTGAACAACACTGCTGTTCGATCTTAAGTCTCAGCCCCCCCTACACTATAGAACTTTGCCTAAAAATTCATAGAGGCTCTACAGTAATTTGCACTGATTCGATTGTGGGTAGGGGGGCTTGAGCCCCCCCCCCCACTGCTGGATCCGCCCCTGTTTGTAGACTAGAGGTATGATCAAATTTATCCACAAGGTAATCCTAATAAATAATTTTGTATCCGTCCCGTACTGTAGTACCGTTTTCCTGCCCCTATTTTGCAATATTCCTCCCAATGAACAATCAGTTCACAATGTTGGTGCACTTAGGAAATCCAAAGTGTGGTTATTACAGTATTTCCACTCTTTACTTTCATACTGCGAAAGAGAGTACCAAGTTGCTAACATGTTATGTAATAGACATCTGTAAATGGTCATTTCACATCAACTTTTTCAACATAATACATTGTTTGCCACTGCCACTGCAAACAATAGGCTGAGCCTTGGATAATTATTGTGTAACATAGGGAGTACTCCATCTACTAACAAGGCTCTTCTCACGGTTTGGGCTCCAAACCTTCGCCACAGCCCACAGAAACATCCTTCCATTTGTGGTGTGAAATGGTGAGCAATACTGTTGGTGACATGTTAAGGAAAGGAATCAACTCCCTCATTATCCTTGGAGCCTGGACTTTATGGACACACCGCAATTGCAGGCGCAGAAGAGCAGGCCTGGTGCAGTGGTGAGAGCTGTCTCACTGAGTCACCAGGTCACGGGTTCGAAGCAGCCTCTCCGCAGATTTTGCGGGGGGAAGGCTTGCCTCGGTTTTTCCCTTCCCCAGACCCCACTCATGTGGGAGCCTCTAGCACTGGGTCTGCCCCCTTTTTTTTTACCGCAATTGCAGGCACACTGTAGCTGAAGATGAGGGAAAGGCATGGTCGTTGGCAGGGGCTCGAGGTTTATCCCTCTTAGTAGCCATTGCTCCGGGTGGTTCACGCCCTATCTTATGGTTGATTAGTCATTTGTAGTTTCTTTCGCAGGCGCGAGCGTTCCTAAGGGCAGCAGCAGCAGTGTGTGTGTGTGTGTGTGGGGCGGGGTGAGATTTTGTGTTGTATGGGCACTCGTCCCTTTTTTCATCTTCTTAATATAATGATGTGCAGCTCTCCTGAGTTTTCGAGAAAAAAAAAATTGTGACAACTTTGACCATGGTAGGACTACCTCTATCCTTTAGCTACTTTGTATCAAATGTCTAAACATACCCTTGATGATAACTGAATGGGCCAACCATGGATACGAGGAAGAAAATTTGATACACACAAAACCAGAAATTGTATAGAGTAACTTAATGTAATAAGCATTAGTGAAAACAAAAGAAGTGATAAAAAAAACGAATAATTGTACATGTTGGTCTTGGGAACTTGGTTTTGGAACTAGTCTAGTTTTTCCACTCCCAAGTATACATAGTATTAGTGGTCGCCTCTCTCATACCCATGGCACAATTGTTTTAATTAACGTGTGTAGGTGTGTGGCCAGTGTCCATGTGTGTTTCTCTCTATCACATTTTCTATTCCTTCCAGTTCTCCAGCGCGTTCAAAAAAAAAATATTATAAATGCCAGTACAATAACTAGGATAGTATGGTAATAAGCATAACAGATACGTCTTCGGTGCTACATATCTACAGTATGGAGAGGCAAGTAATATCACAGCAACCTTGTCTGATTGCCATGTTTCTCGGTATAAAAACATTGCCTCCTATCAAACCTTATTACTTTATTGCCGTACACTCATACTAAGGTCATGCAAAGACCAACCGTGGTCCTCAAACCTTTTTTTTGTTGTTGTCTCCAGCTAGACCCAGACCTAAAGGCTGCCAAATTCTATTCAGCATCTTCTTAATTTAATATTGGTGTGCATATGCGTGAGGGAGTGCCTTTTTTTTTGGGAGGGGGGTGTTCATATGGCCTATGGCAGGAGCCTAAAGCCTATCTATTTGGTTATACTCGAGTGTTGTGAGGAGCTGGAGAAGAAAATGGCAAGAAAAAGAGTTCAAGATCTCAAACTCCTTAGGATGAGTAGAGACATACAAGAATAGCTGTTGCTGCAATCTTATCTGTATCTGTAGTTGATGTGCTGTTAATTTTATTCTGATCTTTTCTTGAAGAATTTAATTTTCCTTCTGTAATCCTACAATAAAAAATATTCAAGGCCCATCAGTTATCAGCAATCTAACTTGGCATTTAGTACATACCAATTTGGTTTTATAGGAAATCCTAAAATAATGATGATACATTAGAAAAGAAAAGACCATTAGTGGACAACAATATTACAGTTAATTAGCTGACCATCAATGCAATAGACCTGAGGACAAGGATTTGAAATCCTGAAGTAACCAGATTCCAGATTGAGACAGGAAATGAAATACCAATACAGAAAAACATTAAGAATATTGAATTAGACACTGAAAACAGTTCAGATCATCAGCTTTTATGTATGCATGCAAAATAGTATAAACAACTTTCATTTTTTTAACTAAATTAACTGAATACAATCAAGATTGCCTCTAGTATATTGTAAAGCATCAGTTGTCACCACATGCACACATTTTATTTCATAGCATCTTTGCTCACCTGACCAATTGAATTTGTGTCAATAGCTTATTAGGTGTGTTTCCAGTAGAACCTCATCAAAACTAGGATACTCCAAATTATTGGGTATAGTGCCAAACTAACAGCAGCCATTTGACTTAATGCAACCAACATGCCAAAATACAAGTGCTTTGCAAATCAAGTCATCGAGAATCAGAGACCAGTAATTCAAAACAGTGAAAGAGAAGAAAATAGAAGAATGAAAAACCTGATTGAATCATTGCTGAGCTGTTTTGCCTTTGCGAGGTAATATGCAGTTACATCGCTGTTTGCATTCTCCAGATCATTTAAAACTTTGTGCAATGTTAACCTTGCCAAGTGTACCAATGTAAGAGCTACCTGCAATGGAAACAAGAAAACAACAGTTGATCAATGTAAAAACTAATTACTTACAATGTAAAACAGTGCTACTACAACATAGTTCAGGTCCTTTCTATAAAGCGCAATTATCTATAAAGCGCAATTAGAAACATTAAATTTATCACAGTATTGTGGTTCTTGATGTTTCTCTATAAAGCACAATTTGAAACATTAAATTTATCACAGTATTGCAGCAGCCTGAAGATGGAATCATCACTGAGGAAGAAATAACAATGGTGGGAGCAGGAAATCAAATTCAGGAGATCACATGCTGGTTGATGGAGCCAACATGGCCAGAAGTCATTTTTCTCAGACGAGATTTTTCCGTTTTAGATCTTGTTGTGGACCTTTTGTTTAGATCATCAATTTATTCACAGTTACTTCATAGTTACTATTAATACTACTAATACTTTTTTTTTACTTTTTAAATCCTCTTTATTGATCCATCATTTTAATCTTTAGCCTACCCCCTACTTGAAGGCTCTGTTGTACCTGATCCTTTGACTGCATCATGTAGAGAATGTGAGAGTGTTGCCAATGGCAGTAATTAAGTGTGTAGTGACAATGAATATATGCATGCTTGTCACGCCCGTGAGCATTTGACAAGGAAACACTAACAGACAAAGATGGACAAGAGGCATCACAGATCTTGAGTTACTTCTCTACCCAATAAAAAATTATGAAGGAACAGAATTATTGGAGATGAGGCTACCGCTGCAGGTGAATGGTACAGAAACCACTGATGCTGGGCCCACATTCATTACACACAGACATCTGCATAGACTGCCACAAATGAAGATGCCAGAGGGCGCTTATAATGTCGACGCCAGCCGCCTTATAAGTTGCTTCATGCATTGTAGGTGACGTGGTGGACATGTGAGAGAAAGAGACCCTTATCTCACAAACCAAGTGTCCTATAAGCAAAATTTAGTGCTATGAAACTAGAGGCACACCATGTATCATATAAGAGCAGCTCCAGCGTGCTGTGAAACCGAACCATGAGGAGAGAGGAGTATGCTTCGATTTCAACACTAGAGCCAACAAACAGCAAAAAGATTGCTCCGCTCAACTCCAGTTTTGTTCGAATGGATGGAACAAAGAACCGACGAGTGCAGCTCCGGCTGTCTTTCCTGCAGTGGCGTGGAGAGAGAAGGGCAAAGAAGCTGCAGATTTTTCCTTTTTGTATTCGGTTGTGGGCCCCAACAATTGACTGCAGCACGGGAGCACCCAAACCACAGATAGTATGCGGATCGTGAAGTTCATCTCAGCATTTGAGATTGAATCAGACACTGGAGCTGCCCTAACATTGCAATGAAGGCATTTCCTTCTTCCATGGACGAATAAATTAAGGGCTTGTCAATTTACTTAAAGGCAACTAGTCAACTACAGATAAAACCCCATGCAGGACTTGTGTATCGAGTCATCTCAAGATTATGTGGAGGCAAATAGACGAACCATGGTACATTTTCTAAGGTGGAAAACTCAAAATACAATTGATCTTAAGATCATTTCTAAAAAACAATTTCAAAGCCAAAGCAAAAATCACCATGCAAGGGAGCTTGTTACAGTACTTACATTTGACAACTCAAGAATATAGCTTACAATTTTTTTCAACAAAGATAATCTCAAGAGCTCAATATGAGGGAAAGAACAAACCTGAAGATGATCTTCAGGTAGAACCTTTTTCTTGACTGCAAGGCATCTAGAAAATTAACCATTAGAAAGATTAAGCAACTGCACTAAAATGATCAAAACGGACATACAGACAGCTGTTGCTGACAAGTATCACCGTTCCAATAGCTCTTCTGATTCCTTCCACTTCTCCATGGCTTCAAGATTTAAACTTAGGAGTTCAGCTGCATGCGCAGTGTCCAATGAATCCCATCCCTATGAAACATGCAACAGATGAACTTCAGTAGGCTTTCCAGGAATGATTCATGAATCAAGAAATGACATCAAGAGAACTTTGACAATTAAAGTCAATATTGCCTGCACCTAGTGCTTTATATTTTCTTATTCAACTTCCTTATTTGGTTCTCTGTTAGTTCTTTCATCAAGAAATAAACCACAACTAGAACCAGTAGGGCAGAACACTCTTGAAGTTCATCTCCATATTCCACGTGAAAACATTGAGTAAGAAATATCCTGTCTAAGACCAGAAAAGAATTTTCTTTTAGAGATTCTAGTGGCTCATAATTCTGAGCTGAAGTTGGAATAGGCATCACCAAAGCTGATGAAATGATCTCTCTTTTTTCTTCCCCCTTCCACATGAAAAGGTGACATGGCAAAATCCCCAGTTTAAAGTTTTTATGACCATACAAGTACAAACTTTCAAGTTGAATCACCTTTCATGTTTTCAGTAGAGCAATGTTTTATGTATGCACTGAAAATTCTCAACAAAACAACTACAGAACTTATTTTAATTTGGCTAGCTAAATAAATTTTATGGGACTATGCATGTGGCATTGTTACTGAGTAAAATGCAGCACAATTTTCTTTTACATTGTAAAGTGAATGCAGCGCAGTTATTAACATGCATCCATGTAACAGAATTCTGTACAAGGCTCATTTTTGCAGTAAACTTCTTTGCAAAAGCCAAAAGGAATGCGATGAACTAGCATGTGTTTCACAAAAGCCCAGACTTTACATTGTTAACTGCTGGCCAACCAGCATGTGTAACAGAATTATGCGGTTCTGGTATGGAAAATAGAGTGCACATTTAAGTTTAGGAACAAATATTATATTAATATCAACCACTGGCCAACCAGAGATCATTCAATTCGACGAGTGAGTTGGTAAAGCGTTTGGGAAGTTCAATGACCCCTTTGGTTCTGATAACTATATTGCTATCATCCTGGATATGCAAATAGAAGGGTAAGAGCTGAAGTGAGACTTTGACCTCAAAATCCAAGGCACTTGAATAAATATAATAGATGGGTGATGTGCATGCAAGCATAGGCTTTGCAGAATTTCGATTAATATTGCCCCCCAGACATTAACAAATGGACAAAACAAAGTGAAAATATTGTGTTCAGAAGCATGGATAGTGCAAAAGACAGAAAAATCAGCACATAGATGAGGTCAAGCAACCATGTTCCAGATCATCGTCATACTAAATGGTGATGTCACAAGGGGAGTTGTCAAGGGCGTAGCGATCTAGGGTAGCTGGCCCTCGACTACGTAGTTCGTAGTCTCGTGCCGTGTCTTCCAGAGTGGAGGTTATACCCCTCGCAACGCCTGGGCTTGAGAGTGCGCAAGGAGGAAGAAAGAGATTGGAGTAATTGATCTTGCTTAATTGTTAACACGCTGATCAGAGAGTTTATAGCCTTACGGCTTTAACTAACCAGAGCCACGCTCCTACAATCAAGGCCGCCCATGCAAAACAAAATGAAAGCTATGCCAAGGAAAGGAAACTCCGATCGCCTTCCAGTCAGCCACTGCTCGCGTTGATCGCGCGGCGGCTGTTCTCGCGCGTGCTTGCTGCATGCGCTTCGGCGCGTTCAACAAAGTCGCGCCGGATGTCACGGGCCCGGCGTCTACGTGTATACGCATTGATGACATCTCCCCTGTCGAGAGGCAGCTCGTCCTCGAGCTGGAACTCCGCACTTTTATGAAACGGCTCGACGTCCTCCCATGTCGCCCGATGCGGAGATTGGCCTTCCAATGGATCAAGACTGGCGGGGCCTTCCAGCGGAAGCGGGCGGGCGGCGCTCGGGCTCAACGACCCACGGCACCATGCGCGGCCGGAGGTAGACGTGGTGGCGCATCCGAGCCGGCCGTGGTACTTTTCAAAGACGCCGACGTGGAAGACGTCGTGAATGCGGGCACGGGAGGAGTGCCAAACGAACCGCCACCTCATTGATGAGCTTCGGTGACACTGCACGCCCAAAGAACTTGGCCTTGAGCTTGCCGGAGGTGGGTTGTTGTAGAGAGGATGCCGCGCACCGGGCGAAGCCGCAGATACCTAATCGCCCACCAAACGCCACATGACGATGTACCTTGTCGTAGTGTAGCTTCAGTAGGCTGCGCTTGCTCCGGCCCGATAGCGGACGTCGGCCAAAAACTCTTCAGCTCCATCATACTCTTAGCCCACGCCACAATGACGCGCGTCTCCCAGCTCATATGACCGGATGGACGGGGGATCACGATCCAGTACGATCGAACGGAGTCTCTTTCAAATGATGTCCGGTATGCCGTGTTGAACATGAACTCGGCCCAAGGAAGCCGCCAAGACCGAAGGCGGCTCGTCACCCGTGAGGCACCCGAGGTACATGATGATCACCCGATTGGCGAGACCGCCATTCGGATTGCGGGTGGAACGCCGACGTCAGGCGCATCTTCGTGCCCAACATGCGCATGAGCTCCCTCCAGAATGTGGACGTGAAAACCGGATCTCGATCCGACACCATGGACACTTTGGGATGCCATGGAGACGAACAATGTCGGTGTAGAAAACGCTGCTGCACAGCACTCGGCGAGTACGGGTGAGCCAAAGGAATGAAATGGCAATACTTATCGAACCTGTCCACGACCGTAGAGATCATCGATTTCCCACGCACGCAGCGGTAGAGCTTCCACAAAATCCAGGGCTATGTCCGTCCACACACCCCAGGGCACCCGGCAAAAGGGCAGCAAGAGGCCGGTAGGATGTAGATGTTCGGTTTTGTACGGCGGCATACGTCGCAGCGCCGCCACGCCTTGCACCGGCGGTTTCATGTTTGGAAAATGGAAGTCGCGGCGAATGCGGTGAAGAGTCCTTCTGACTCTTCGTGGCCTTCCGCATGGAGTGCCACCGTGATCTCTTGAACCGGCGGGGAGGTTGGGGAACGTGGAGGCGTCCGGCGAACTGCACTCCGACCGTCCACCACCACTGTCCACGGGCGCCATACACCGGCCGTGATCTCGCTCACGGATGGCCACCAAGGCCGGGTCGGATGCTACTGCTGGCGGAGGCGCCCAAGAGGTCGGCGCGGGCGGACACCGCCATGATGGACGCCTCGCTGGTGTCGCGGCGGATAAATAGCGTCGCCACTGTCAAGCGCCGCCCGGCTTGTACTCCACGGCGAAAGTCGAAGCCCAACAACTTCCCCACCCAATGATGTTGAGGAATGGTGGCGAGCCACCGTCGAAAGCGATACTTCAAGCTATAATGGTCCGTCTTGACGAGGAACCGGCGGCCCCATAGGTACGGCCTCGATGGCGCACCGCTTGAACCACCCGATGAGTTCACGTTCATAAGCGGCGGGCGACATGACGGGCGCCACAGCCGATCAAGAAGCGGCCGGGTGGCCTCTTGGATGAGTACCGCCGCCCCAAAGCCATGTGTTGATGCGTCGCTTTTCGACGATGAAGGTCTTGGAGAAGTCCGCATGGCTAAGATGGGCGCCGAGGTGATCGCCGCCTTGAGGGCGTCGAAAGCCGCGGGCAGAGCCCCACGAGAAACCGTCCTTCTTGAGGAGGGTACATCAACGGAGCCGCCACCGTGTCAGTGGTTGTGCACGAACTTGCGGTAGTAGCCCGCCATCCGAGGAAGCCGCGGACCGCCTGCGACGAACGAGGGACCGGCCAGTCGTGGATGGCCTGCACCTTGGCCGGGTCCATGGCGACCCCCGCCTCGGAGATGATGTGGCCGAGGTAGACGACGGAGGAGACACCGAAAGCGCACTTGGAGCGCTTTTGACGAAGCTTAGGCGCGGAGTTCGGCGAGGGACGGCGCGGGACATGACGAGGTGGTCATGTCAGAGATCAAAATGTCGTCAAAGAACACGAGTACAAAGCGGCGAAGAAAAGCTCGAAGGACATCATTCATAAGAGCTTGGACGTCATTTGAGCATTGCACCGATCCGATGACGAGGAACTCATAGAGTCCGTCATGGGTGCGGAACGCCGTCTTGTGTATGTCGTCACAGCGCGCATGCGGACTTGGTGGTACCGGGCGTAAGTCCATTTTGTGAAGAAGCGTGCTCGTGGAGCTCGCCCAATTCGTCGGACGACGGGGATGGGAAAGCGTCTTTGATCGTGGAGTGCGTTCAGCAGTAGTCGGCCAGCAGAACCGCCATGTCCCGTCCGGCTTCTTGACGAGGAGGACCGAGACGAGAACGCCGAAGTCGCTGCGCGGACGATGCCCGGGACATCATGGCGCCAGACCGACGTTCGAGTTCATCCTTGTGGGCGTACCGGTACCGCAGATGGTGGTCAACAACAACCGGTTGGGCCCTTTGTTTGAGCGTGATGTCGTGGTCGCGACTTGAGGTGGGGAAGGCCCTCGGCTCGACGAAGACATCACCAAAACCGCCAGAGCTCCTCAAGTAGAGAGGCGCCTGCGTCGTGGGTGCGAAGGCGGCGGCGCAGATCAAATGAAACGCCCTCCCAGAAGCACGGAGCGCCCTCGTCTTTGGAAAAGGCGATGGTCCCGGCGGTGTCCCACCGGCTTGCCCAAAGGTGGCCATCCGGTTGGTGCCTGTGACAGTCGACTTTGCCAGGCATGACAAACAAATCTACCTCGAAGTGGAGGTCGTCGTGTGGAGCGGGGCGCGACGTAGAACACCCGGGCAGTGGACTCGCTCACCATTGGCGACGGTAGCGGTCAGACGTGGACGCGTCTGGATGTCGAGCCCGGTCAGACGCGCCGCCGCCTCCGCGATGAAACTGTGCGTGGAGCCGGTGTCCAGTAGGGCGGTGAGCGAGGTCGCGCCCACGGACACCCTCAGATGCATGGTCTTGCCGACGGCCACGCCAGCGATCGCGTGGAGAAAACGCAGGAGTGTCCGCCTCGCCCGTGTCCTCGGCGTACGCTGCATTTCCACGCCGTCGAGGAAGAAGATACGCTTCAATCTGTTGTGGCAGATTGCGCTTGAAGCAAAGGTTTTGGCGACGTCGCCGGCCATCTCCTCGGGCGTGAGGCGCCATTGGGGCCCTCGGTCGTCCCAGAGGCGAGAGCCGCCGGTGGCGCGGAGCAGGCCGACAAGAAATTTCAACAGGCGGGACGCGGTGGTGGCGCCGCATGAGCCCAGCGCAGCAGCGCCAGGAGCGGCGGCGGCCGTTCGGCCTCCATCAACTCCACTGTCGGGCCAGTCTCATGGCCTCCGCGAGGGTCGTCGGGTGATGAAGCCGTCTGGCGTTGCTTGTCGTCGGCAAGAGCCCAATGTAGAAGCCGGACGCTGTTTCTCCCTCAAGACGGCCGCCCGGCTCGAGGAGTAGAGCTGGAACCGATTGGAGTATTCCTCCACGGTCCCGGTACGGCGACATTCGGCGAGCTCGAACATCGGAGCGGAACGTAGAGGAGGTCCGAACCGCACGTGCAGGAGCTCCTTGAAGTGTGCCCAGTTGGGGGTTCCGTCGTCCTCCTGGACCTGGGTGAACCAGAGTTGCGCGACGTCGTCCAGGTGGTACGCCGCGATGCGCACCTTCTCATCCGGCGTAGTGCGGTGCTGCAGGAAGTATGCGTCGCACTTGTTGAGGAAGAGCATCGGATCGGCCGTTCCATCGTAGCGGGGAAAATCCCACTTCTTGTGCTTGGGGTGAAACTGGGCGCGCCCTTATTTCGGATGGCGGTCATGCGTAGCGGAGGACGACTCCGGTTTGTCCTTCATGGCGGCCACGTCGGACTCCACGGTGGTGATCTTGGAGTTCATGTTCTTGAGCATATCCATGATCTCCGCTAGGGTTGGCTCGGCCATGGTGCGCGAGGTGGGGGTGGCGGCTGCGGGTGCTGTGGTAGATGAGGCGGACGGTGCGGTGGTGGGAGATGGCGGCGGCGGTGGTGAGGTAGGGTTTGGGGATGGCGGCGGCGGGCGGATGATGATGACGAGGATCGAGTGGATCGTGATACCAAGTTGTCAAGGGCGTGGCGATCTAGGGTAATGGCCCTCGACTCACGTGGTTCGTAGTCTCGTGTCGTGTCTTCCAGTGGAGGGTTATACCCCTCGCAACGCTGGGGCTTGAGAGTGCGCAAGGAGGAAGAAAGAGATTGGAGTAATTGATCTTGCTTAATTGTTAACACGTCACAGAGAGTTTATAGCCTTACGGCTTTAACTAACCAGAGCCACGCTCCTACAATCAAGGCCGCCCATGCAAAACAAAAAAGAAAGCTATGCCAAGGAAAGGAAACTCCGATCGCCTTCGATCGTACCCATCGCTTTGTTGATCGCGTGGTATGGTTGTTCTCGTCTTGTATGCATGCGCTCGTCGGCCAGATATATCACGGGGCCCGGCGTCTACGTGTATACGTGCGCCCGACCATGACAGGAGTGTTGAACAAACAGTAAATAAAAGTGTACATATTGCCATGCCTTTGAAAGCTCCAGAACATGTAATATCTTCCTTTGCCAGATTTCAGCTTCAGCAAATCGTTTTGATTTTATTAACTCCTGCAATTAAGTAACAAACCACAGTTCAGATCAAGAAAAAATATCAAATTACAAACATAATTCCTCAAACATAAATGAAAGAAAACTACTGCAGTTGGTCTGCACTAACCTGCTAGGTACACCAAACATTAACATCGAAAATCCTTTAAGTGAGACAGATCATATCATATCAATTCAGAGAAAACAAATGGTTTTCATAGATTATTTTTTATGTTCAATAGGCATTGGATTTTTCTATACCATGGCAACTAAACATGCAAGGGTGTTTGTGTCAATTATTTCTATTATCACTATAAAACTAGTTATCATTTGTTAAGAATGCTTTCAAATACACCTTAATTTAAGTCCAAAACAAGATTTCAAAACATGCCAAATCCATTGTCATTCATAGATTTCCAGCTGCCTATAAACTTGTGAGCTCACATTTAGGCACTGCATTCAGTTTTCCAGTTCCAAACCACTGCCTCCAGAAAAAAATCATTTCCTTTAAATTAATCGTCCATAAACAGGCTAAATCTATTGAACGAAGGCTTCCATGTGAACCATAAAAAGATACAAAGATAATTATAGACCTATTATTTTGGGGGCTCAAGCATCCTGTTTGGATGCATAAAACCTATCAGATTGAGTTTCCACTATGTTGATTCTATTTCTGCAACATATATAATATTTTAGTGACACTTCAGTTGTAAAATGTCAAGCATTTGATAGTTTGAATCTAAATATGGCAGATAGTTTCTACACATGAATAACTTAATGATGCCAAAAAATATAAATACATAACTTCTCGTGCCAAATTTCGGAATAGGTGCTTACTCTAGAGAGATACTTCATTCTTTGTATACATGTTGGTGAATCGCCAAGGCCAGCTTCCTAAGTCAATGACATAATCTTCATGGAACACTTGCATGGACAATTGGTGGATTCAAACCTACAAACTGAAATGGTAAACATACCTCAAGTATTCTAATAGACTCTTCAGCAAGGCATTCTCCATTTTTTCTTTTTCCTTGTAGACTGAGCACCTAAGAGCATAAAATAAGTTCGATTATAGGACCAAACCCAAATTCAGAGTTAGAAGAGATCAATTTTAATTCATAGTTATTAAATACATAAAGTGCCTGGTCATTAATAGTAGTAGTAGGGTTGTTTGTCTTGGGGATAAGGGTAATGTGGGAATTATTTATGGACTGCAGATCCAAGTAGCCATTAAAGAAATCAAAGCACAGGTTATAGAAGTCCTTTTTTACTATCTCACAGCAACTTTTCAGGAAAAACCCATTAAAACCATCAGGTCCTGGAGCTTTATCTGCAGCCATTTGCTCGATGACAGAATCAATATCCTCGATGCTGAAAGGCCTAGACGAGGCTATCACCAGTTTGAACAAGCTGGGTCAGGTCAAAGAGCACGGTAGGGTTGGTGGTGCTTCCCATCCTATGATTGTACTCTTCAAGAAGCAAAGAAGCCTTTTCACTGTGTTCATAGACTGATCTGCCTTCTTCAGTTTCAAGCGAGGTGATGGTGTTGAGCCTGTATCTTTCTGTAGCAACGACATGAAAAACAAATTGTGCTTTCATCACCGAATTTAGTCCATCTGATAGTATATCTTTTTTTCTAGTATCCTTTTGATGTTTGAGAAGCATGAGTATATGATTCTTCAGGATTTTCCTGAAGTTGTATTCTTGAACAAACAGAGGCCTTTGTTCTTCCAGTGAATCCAATACTTCCAGAGTGGAGTTACAATCTTTTATCTAGCATTTGAGATTAGAGAAACTTCTACTCCACTTTTTTAAAGCAGCTCTTAGGAGTTTAAATTTGGTAGTGATTCTGGTTGCACTATTAGTAGCCAGATATTGGTGCTCCAAACATATTTTACTAAGTCATAGAAGCCTTGATGTTCAACCCAAAAATTTTGAAACCTGAAAATCTGTGCTTTGGGAATAGAGGTGCCAATCTGAATCTTGCAAGGGATATGGTCAGAAGTGAGCCTGGCCATAGGAAGGAGGAGAGTGTTTGGGAAATCACAAGTCCAGTTGGGAGTGGTAAAAACCCAATCAATTTGTTCAAGGGGGAGACTTTGCATGTTACTCCAAGTTAAATTGCTTCCTTTGAGAGGGATCTCCAATAAGCCCAGATTGCTGATAATTTCATTGAAAATCGTTATGTCATTCATATTACCCCCATCTCTTTCTATGAGACATAGCTCTATAGAAGTTGAAATCACCGGCCAACATCCAGTTTTCCTCTGCATTGAGCTGTAGATCATTGAGGCATTGAACAAAAGTGTCTCTATTAGGTCCATGGCAGGGACCATAGATAGAAGAGAGAGTCCAGGTTTGCCCACTATGAGATGAGGTAAAAGCGTACTGTTACATTGAATTTGTTTATTTGAACTTGACCAGAGAAGATAGAGCCATTCCAGCCAAGGGGGAGAAAGCAAACTGATTGAAGCGTTTTGGAGCCAGCTTTTTGATATAGGAATGATCAAAATGCTCCCTTTTAGTTTCCTGGATGCAGAAGATGGCACAGTCACTTTCATCAATTTTTTCCTTGATGGCATTACATTTGTCTACAGAGTTTACCCCTCTAATGTTCCAGTTTAAAATGTTCCAGGATCTGTTAGGACTTCTATTGTTGTTGTTGTTACTGGATTGCAGCACTCCTACTTAGATCTGCTTCGTCTTCAGGCCTTGATGTAAGGAGCAACTCTGTAATCACCTCCGAAGGAGCTGTGCGGCAAATTTCTGTTGCCACCCTCTGAATTTCAGCAATAGGTATTCCTGGGAAGGTAGCACCAACACTGTTATATTTATCAATAATAGAGAGCCCAGGGAATTCATTGGTCTGACAGGTGTTAGGGAGAAGAATGTCACCCAAAAGATCAGTTTGTGGTTTGATCTTCTTGCCCTTGGTTTTGTTTGTTTGTTGTCTTCTTTGAAGAAATCACAGCAGCTTTATACCCATTAAGCTTTTCAATGAACCTTGGGCTTCTTCTGAGCATCTGGGTGGAAACAGGAGTGCAACATTTCCTTTTCCTTGCCACATTATCTTTGCCCTTGTCCATACTGGCATTGTCAGTTGAGTAGTTGAGTGAGCTGGTACATATTCTTCAGGGGAAGCAAGGAAGATGTTTTCCTCATGTTGTGAAGAAGGTTCCACACTAATAGTCGTCTCCTCGAGTCCCTTAGCCTTGTCCTTAAACTTTATCCTGTGATAGACTCTAGTTATGGGAGCACTTCTTGTGTAGAGATCAACAGGCTGAGGTTGAAGACTTGGCAAAGACTTATGAGTTTCAGGAATTTGGGTTATCTGCAAAGTGCTAGAGAGAACAGATATAGTAGCAGCAATGTTCTGATCAAGGAAGTTCAGAATGATGTTGAGAGAATTGATTCCCAGGGAGGCAAGGTCGATTTGGATAAGAGAGCTTGGGATGGGCAGATTCCTCAGAGTTCCTGTGGTGCCTGGCGCAATCTGGCCATTGAATATCTGTCTCAAACCAGCAGCAAGAAAGCCAGAGATTGCCTCTCTTTGCTCACAATCCCTTTGCTCTTCTAACATGTTATTGATCATAATAGGCACTGGAGAGTTGCTGATTGCGAGAGCTTGGTTCTGTTGAATTCCAGTATGTTAAACCACTAAGTTTTCTTTCTCGTCAGGTTGCTTGTCAATAGTGATTTCCTTTTCATTGCTCTGCCCAGGCTGGAAAAGGGCAGGGGCAGCAGGGGATGAAGCAGCATCAACCATCACAGCAGAACCTTTGATCCTCTTCCATGACCTCTTAACTACTAGAGGGAATACAAGGAGATGAGTCTTGGGAGCTGAGCATAGAGGGCAAGGCGTCATCAGGTGCATTGGGCCCAAGGGAACATTGAATGTAATTTGTTCTCCCTTGTCCACCGTGCTCTTCACCCAACGCGTGTTTGCTGGGCTAAACGGCCCAATTACGCTTGAGGTCTAATCATCTCTTGACACAGTTTCAAGCCCGATGATCATAATTGAAGCAGTAAATACAGCGGTCTCCCCCCAGCAATCTTTAACAAAGGAGGGTTGCATGACTTGGGAAAAAACTGAAGCGTTCACCTTGGGGAGGCGGACCGTCATTAAACCTTACTGACGGCTGGGTGTTGGGGGATAACGTGGAGATCTCTTTTGAGATTTTGAAAACCCTGCTGGATTGGGACATCAATCAGTGTCAGTCTGGCTGTTGGAGAGCAGGAGGAGCAGCATGCTTGACAGGAGCATCTGAAGAAACTGAAGCTTTCCCAAAAACATTGCAGGAGTCTTTCATAACAGGGCAGAAGATAGCAACAATCTTGATCACCGAAGAAAGCTCCCTGGGACGAGATTTATGAACCAGAGCATCTTAAGTAAGCTTTTTACGGAAAGAAACTCTTTTGGAAGACATCTTGCGTTTGTTTTTACGGCGATCACGGTAGACCAGCCCTTCTCTTCTTTTTCCCATTTTCTCTGTTGGAGTTCCCAGTTTTCACCCCCATCACGCCACATGTGGAAGTAGATGTCAAAGTGATCAATGGTAATCCTCTTGAGAGCACGAACCAACAAACCCACATGCTTCTGTTAGTCCCTCGGCTGCCCTGCACTGGTAAACAGTAAGCTTACCAGCACACTCATTCACTATGGCTAGAGGTAAAAGAAGATATTGAGAACAGCTCTCACACATACAGCACAAGCCCAGTGCTGGCCGAAAGCTCTGCTTCTGGATGTGGCAAACTGAACTGATTTGTTGTATTGCCTTTAGATAGAATATATACAACTCTAACTGTACCTTTACCAGATACATAGTTGTTGGTGAGTACACCAACTACCTACTACCGGAGTACAAGAATACACCAACGACCTACTCCTAAGGTACAGAGTACACGAACTATCTATTCCTAAGGTACAAGGGTACACCAACTACCTACTCCTAAGGTACAAAGCTTAGCTCAGCTATCTCCACTCTACATGGCTGAAGTAAACCACTACTACTATGGCCTACTGCCTTACTAGCTACAGGAGCTGGTCGGTAGAGCCGATCAGTCTCCAACTCCCAACAGGGAGTGGTCGGCAGAGCCGACCATTCTCCAACAATGGAGAAACGGGGGGCAGCAGATTATGTCTTACAATTCTTTCCCTAATCCTGCTGCTAACCCGATGCCTTAACCTCATCCATGCCAATCATCTTCCTCAGCTCCATGAACCGCAGGCGCCCGAGTGACATGGTGAGGATGTCAGCGAGCTGTCTGCCGGTCTCGACGAACTCGATGACGATCTGCCCTCCATCGATGCAGTCCCAGAGGAAGTGGAACTTGATGTCAATGTGCTTACTCCGGTCGTGGAGGACATGGTTCTTAACGTGGGCGATGGCGGGCTGATTGTCCACCATCAGAGCTGGCGGGTGAGCTTCCTCGCCGGTCAGCTCGCCCAGCAGCCGGCGTAGCCAGACAGCATGGCACGCCGCCGTGGCCACTGCGACGTACTCCGCCTCACACGTCGACAGCGCCACGATCTTTTGCTTCAGCGACTGCCAAGCAATGGGGGCCAGCACGCCGGAGGTGCTCCGTCGCCCATCAATGTCGCCCTCCATGTCCGCATCGCTGAAGACAGTGAGCTTCGACTCACCTTCTTTTGCCTTGGGGGTGCCTCACTGAACACCGTGAGCCGCAACCCACCCTTGCCGCCACTCTTGGGGAAGATGATCGCTTGATCGAACGTCCCCTTAACGTAGCGCAACAACCTTTTCACTGCCAACCAGTGATCTTCGCGCGGGTTCTTCATGAAACGGCTGACGTACCCAACCACGAACGCAATGTTCGGTCGGGTATGAGTGAGGTAGCGCAACCCGCCGACGATGCTCCAGTAGCGCGTCGCGTCCACCTTCGCAGCAGTGCTTTGCTTGCTCAACTTCAGCCGCTCCTCCATCGGAGTCGCGCACAGCTTGCACTCCGCCATGCCGCCGCGCTCCAGCAGCTTCTCCGCGTAGGCGCGCTGACCCAGGGAGATGCTCTGCTTCTCCTGCCTCAC